CATGAACGACTATGCTACTACTATATATCTATGCTCTCTAGTCTTGTGAGTGTATATGAATAATCACTTCTCCTATATCTAGTAACAACTCGTTCGTAGACGAATGCTTTCTCTGTGTTGGAACAATAAATTTCACAAATAAGTGTGTTATTGAACAATCAACTCCCCTCCCTTTCATTTTTTGAATTAGAAGAGTGCTTGCTGTGTGTTTGGAACAAATAAATTACACAAAAAAGTGTGGAACTCATTTCTCAATCCACATTTTTATATAATTATAATGCCAATAAAAATGTAGATTTGCATAAGAATATCACCTTTCTTGAATTCTTTTGATTCAAACGTAGAAAAGAATCATCAATGTGGTATTATGCACAATATTACATTATATTTGTTTAACAAAAATCAATTCTTACCAAAAGCTGAGTACGAGGACATGACGATGATATATGCCGAAGCCCTCTTAATGGAGTACCATAAAGGGGAAGTACTATTAGATGCTTCGTATGGAACAGGATAACGGTGTCTGAAAGGCTTGAAGGGTATTGATTCACCCTGAAATAAAATTGCTTCCATTTAATTCCTTTACAAAGCACAATATTGTTTTACTTCTTTTTGCAAGCATATAATAATATTATATGCCTGAAAGCAAATCAAGAACAAATAGAATTATTTAAATTTTAAATTAATGGTGAAACAACATACAAGATTAGGGGCAAAATCAATTTCATGATTTCCTGCAGTCCATATCCAAGGTTGATATGCCGCATTTCTTTCAACGAATCTTCCCCAGGTATCCCATCTCGTGTTATCATGCAAAGGGTAATCATCTGCATAAGAGAGGTCTCCGACAAACAAGAGTGTTTGTCCTTTTGATGGGTTTAATTCATAATGTGCAAGTGTCCTATTTGAATCATATGTTTGTCCAAGATCTCCTGCACAAGAATGTACAATAAAGTGAGACTCCAGAACCCAAAAAAATTGTGTAGATCACTTGGGATTCAGGTTTATTGGTTCAGAGTAGATATGCCATCTATTCCCAATTTATTTCTCAGATGACATGTTTCCTGGGGATTATTAAAAGACAAATTGTTGTACATTCTTATGTATCATAAATTCTGCTATTTAGGAAGTTATCATGAAGGAATTCTAACATGAGGGAACTACTGTCACACTAATAATTAGAAAAAATATCCTCATCGCGCTACTATTGAGTCTTTTCATATATTCTTTAATATGACCTACATGCAGTCCTTGAAGATTACACCTATTTGCATGAGCACTACAGATACATAGCTATATACACTAAGTTATGTTGCTTGATAATGATGCTAATATAGATTCAGCACCACTAGTGAAAAATTATAAACAAGTATGATAATTTACATCAGTGATGTGAGCAAAATATGTCATAGTTATAACTATATAATAGACATTGTTCAGATGAGTTATAAGGGAAATGTAATTATGTTCGCGAGCTAGGCTATGCTCATATCCATGTTGAGTAAGAATTATATTTAGATAGAGGAAAGGATTTAAATTTATGAGGCTATATCGAGCATGTTATGTTATTGTTGGTTGAGTTGATGTGTTGAACGAAGGCTTCTATACTATGTTTTTTTAACTGACTAGAATAAATGTCTTATTTTTGGGGGAAACTCCAAATTTTCTGCATGGTTGCAATAATAAAATATGTTGAGTGTATAACTTAAAAGTTTTGATCTTATCATGTGAAATTGGTGCTGTCAATGGTCCCAAGAAGGGGCCCCTATTGCCAACTACACTAGGCTTTGAGGAAAGATTTCTATGCATAGAACTCTTAGGATCATCAAATAGGTTATATTGAAGATGTGTAAGTTGAACTTCCAATACTACATATATGTGTAAAGGTTTATGCATGGTACAAGACAAGCTCAGTCTCGCGTAATAGGTTCCTAAGGTTTGCTACGACTGAGTTTTGTGATCTTAAATCTATTCATTCTCTAAAGTCAGTCATGATCCAAGTTTGAAATCTAACACCATTGTTGCTTCCAACCATCAGAAAAGGGTAGTAAACTACAAGAAATGCTTAACAAATTAGAAAAAGAAAAAAAGCCAAAAGAAGATAATTCATTAATAGCAACCCAGCAAGATCTTATAATTCATTAATAGCAACCCAAAAAGATCTTCTTTTCTTGAAAAATACAAGAAAGAAACAGTACCAATGAGGCCAAAAGTGTACGGAACATCAGGGCCAACTTTAGGTGGAGTTATAAACCAGAACTGTCGAGTCGTGTTCCCAATCCCAACCTCATAGAAATATTTGGTGTCAAACTGAAATTGAATTAAAGAATCAAATTCGATTATTTCTACTTCCTAAATCTTGGGAGTTTCTTGTATGGGAAAAGACCGTCAGATAAGTGACCAGATTCTAACAATTACAAACCTCCAAATCTTTAATTGCACAGTGATGAATGTAACCAGAAGTGTAATTGAAATACTTGTAGGTGACGACAATGCCTTCTGCGAGGTTCTTGAGGTCACTGTTTTCAGCCCAGTACAGCACCGAATTTGAACCAGGTTCATCTGAAGTTACCCAAGAGACAATCACACCCCTTCCCTCATGGTCGCCTTGTGTTATATGGACCTTCAATTATTATGGTAGAAAAATCAGTACAGACACAGCTAAGTAGACAGAAAAGCAGTCTCATGAAGTGGGTCATTCTTATAATTGATGAAAAAATGGGAATTTGAAGAGGAAAAAGAAACCCATTTATACACAGACACAACTAAGTAGACAGAAAAGCAGTCTCATGAAGTGGGTCATTATTATAATTGATGAAAAAATGGGAATTTGAAGAGAAAAAAGAAACCCATTTACAGACTTTCTAATTACTCATTGAACTTGCGAAGTTTCCCAAAAGTACAATCAATATTCAGAACAACCTAGTGAGATGCATATGCAACCAAACAAACATGTTTCAACTCTTTACGTTACGAGCACAATATATTAAGAACAGACCTATGTCCAATCACTTTCCCCCCACAAACATTTTCATTCTTCTTTTCTTGGAAATTTCTAATTGTTAAACATTTTCCTGGTCAAGCAGTTCATTAGCATCCAAAACAGCATAGCAAATTTAAACTATAGGATCCCGACAAAACATTTGATAGTCATGGCTCTCAGGGCCTAAACTAAAACATAGTAAACCAAGAAGCAGTAAGATCAAACCTGTTGGGGAGGGTTGTAACCAGGAGGCAGCCGGAACACATCACTTTCTATCGGCATGTCTCTTGAGAAATCAGTTTTTCTCACAAACGTACCTGTTCTTCCTCCATCACAAACACACAGTGCCAGTACTGCGGCAACAGTAAGGGCAAAATCCCACCCCTTCTCCATCTCTATCTTCCAAAATACAGGTTGATCTCTCTCGTCTTTGATATTTTATTTGCTTTGTTTTGCGCCCCAGGAGTAGGCAGACTGCTTGAGGAATATTCATGGTTCTATCCGGATCAATTCGCGTCATTGATCTGTCCCCACTGGCCCTGCTATCAGTGGGAAAGACTTACACCTCTTGCACGCGTAGGACTTCAGTCAAAGAAATAGGTTTTTACGAATACTGCAGTTGGATTGGTAGGTTCAGTTCTCGCCATGAAAGCGAAAGGAACATTGCTACAGCTTCTTCGCCAAATTGAAATGATTTACACTATATATATATTGATCTTTTTACGTTTCGTTGAATTATAATTAATTCTTCATTAAAAATAACATATAGAATATCATATGTAATATATAAATACATATTAAAACATGGACGACATATATTTTTCAAACATATATGTCATAAATTCAGAAGAGAATGGCTCAGAATAACCTCAGACTCCTCTTTAATAGAAAAATAATGGAGACAAGTGGTTTTTTATGGTTATTCTTGCATCTTTTCTGCATCACTGAAGAGAAATTATTCCGAAAATTGTTTCGGTTCGTCGTAAAAGATCATTTTAGTTAAAACGAACTTAATGCGAGATTTTTATAATAAAATCGAATAATAAATAAAATCTTATGATCACAAAATAAAATTTATTCAACCGTAAAAAAGAAATAATATAATCAGATCTTGTAGAACGAATGTTTATACCCATATAAATGATTTAAAGCTAATTAATTTCGCATAAATGCAACTTATATTAATTAAGTTGTTTAAAATAAATTAAATTAATTTTTAAACGATCCAAAATAATTAATTGAATTGATGTAACTTAGTACATAGTTCTTATTAGACATTCTAGGGCAATACCTTACATGGATTATATATACCTCCCTTGTTCTTGCTGACCCAATGTAATTATAACCATATGTTTTTTCTATATATATATATATATATATATATATATATTTACTGTATTAATTGTTAGCTTTTTGTGTTTTCTATAGTTTTAACCTATAATACATAATTACAAACATTAATCAAGGTAAAAACAAAAAAAAAAAATATATATATATATATATATATATGCACGTTTTTAATTTCCAAGTGATATTAATTAATTAATTAAAAAAATCATGAATTAGTATTTTATTATAACGAAAATAATTTTGTATTATATAGGTGTAATATATATATATATATATATATATATATATATGATCTATTAATAAAATCTTTTTTAGAAAGAGGAAAAGATTGGCGCAGCAAAACCTACCAGTAAAATCGGGCTTCCACGACACCGACGGTCGAGGACGACCTTTAGACTCAAATGAACAAGAACAAATAAATTTAGAGGAAAAGATTTTTTTTTTTTTTTCCCCATTTGATATTTACACCAACCAAACCATCACCTGCTCCATTCAAGAAAAGAAAAACAAGATTTCTTCTGCAGTTTCCAGAGGGAAAAGAGGAGGAAGGAAAGATTAAGATTAATTAATTAATTAATCTCCTTCTCCCTCAGCTTCCTCCTAATTAATCCTTGAATTAAGTTCAGTTAGATTGTAGAAGAGGTGGGGTAACTAGTTTAATCGGATTGATTGTATTCGAATTTGACGAACATTTCCATGAGGAAGTTGTGTCCTAATTTGGACAAGGAAGACGGATTGGAGACAGTGCTGGAGGTTCCGATGCCGGAGGAGTTGTTCGACGAAATGGGAAGCAATGCTGCGCTGCGTTGGCAAAATATGTTGAAATTGATGAAAGCTCAAATCATTTCTATTGATAAGTCGATGCATCTCCAATCTAAATCCAAAGAAGAGTTCTTGACTTTGCTCAAGATTGTCGGTCCTCCTCTCATTCCTTTTTACGTTCAACTTGATTTTTCGCTTAACCTTATACGTTCCGTTCAAGATAGTTCTATCGTAAGTTTTTTTTTGTTTAGTTGTTCATCTTCTAAATAGATACATTTGGGATTGAATCATTTCCTATATACATATATATATATATATTCAAATGTTATTCAAAAATTGAAGGTAATCAATTAATCATTACTTTGGTTGAGGAGGGTTGTCCTCCATTCCTCCATTTGATTGTATGTATAATGTTAAAAGGTTTTGCTAATTATGCTAACCAATCCTTAATCATATATATATATATATATGCAATTCGATCTTATACATAAAAGAAATAACTGTGTAATGATTGATAATTATTTAATATGTAGGAGGCTTCTACAGCAAAATACATAGTGCAACAATATGTAGCTGCTTCAGGAGGACCAATCGCATTAAATTCAGTGAATAGTATGTATGCGATAGGGCAGGTGAAAATGCAAGGCTCGGAGATGCAGCATGGCGGTGATCGTATACAAGCCAAAGGAAATTCTGAAGTGGGAAGTTTTGTTGTATGGCAAAAAAACCCTAACTTGTGGTACTTAGAACTAGTTGTTTCTGGCTTCAAGATTAGCGCCGGAAGCGACGGTAAGATTACATGGAACCAGTGTTCTTCTCAACATTCTCATGCTAATCGAGGACCTCCTCGCCCCTTACGCCGCTTTTTTCAGGTAATTATTTTCGTATTAGTTTCATTGTATTTTTTCCCTTCAATTTCTATATAAGTTTTATATTACCTGTACACCATAATTACCTTTTTTGGGAGAGCAGCGAATTGTATTTTTCTTATCATAATGTTTTTAAACATGAAAAAGTTAATGTGAAAGCAGCCAGAATACATGGTCTTGAACTTATGGTGATGTGAAAAATAGGGACTGGATCCTAGGTGCATGGCAAGCTTGTTCTTGGATGCTGTGTGCATTGGAGAAAAGACCATTAACAAAGAAGAATGCTTCGTGTTAAAGTTGGAGACTCCAACGGACACGCTCAAGGCTCAGTGTTCGCCAAACACCGAAATCGTGCACCATACAATATGGGGATATTTCAGCCAAAGAACAGGATTGTTGGTAAAATTTGAGGATACCAAACTAGTGAGGATTCAATCTGCAAAAACAAACAAAAACAATGTGTTCTGGGAGACGACGATGGAGTCAATGGTCGAGGATTACAGATACGTCGAGTCTATCAATATAGCACATGGCGGCACCACTATCACCACGCTTCATAGATACGGAGGGCCAACAAACCACAAGAGAAAGATTGAGGAGACATGGGGGATTGAAGAAGTTGATTTTAACATTTGTGGGTTATCCATGGATTGTTTTCTGCCTCCTGGTGATCTGAAGAGAGAACAAGAAGGTGGTGAGAGCAAGTAATGAGCTAATTGACGTTAGCTATAGAAAATACTTTTTTTTCTTGAGTTTTCAAACAAACAACAATCTAACACAAATATACATGTACATATAGGTGAAGGGTTATATTTACTAATTTGTGTTTCTTTTTTTTTTTTTCTTTTTTTTTTTTTGTGAAAGAATGAGAATTGCCCTTTAGATTTTTTTTTTTAAATTTAATTCTAAATTTCAAATTTTAGACCTAATACGTAAATCTTTATTTGCACCAATCTTGTTTTTCGTTACTTTTTTCTCAAAGAAAAATGATATTTAAATTGATATACATATAAATAATTAATATATATCATCAAAGTTTAAAATAATATTCTATGTATATCACTCATACAATTAAATGATGATTTAAGTTTTAAGTAAAATACATAAAATTCAACAATCACTAAGAATTATTATTCAAAATCAATACAATTGTTATATGTGTGAAATTTCTTCGACTTTCATGATTTGATTATGTACTTTGAAACTGGCATATTCGTTAATAAATCAAATCAGATATTCAATTATTGAAAAAATTGTTGGAGATTCAAATGGTGGATATGCGAGCATGATAACTTATATGTTGTTCTATATCTTCATAGATTTAGGAACTTTTGCTTGTATTGTATCATTTGGTTGACATACCAGAACTGATAACATTCGAGATTATACATAAAATATCATTTTTTGGCTCTCTTTTTAGCTCTATGTCTCTTATCCTTAGGAGGTCTTTTTCTACTAACAAGTTTTTTCGATAAATTCTATTTATTCTGGTATGAATAGCAGACATGCTTATATTTTTTTGTTTCAATAGTACTCCTTACGAGCGTTCTTTCTATTTATTATTGTCTAAAAATAATCATGTTAATAATAACTGAACGAAACCAAGAAATAACATCTCACGTGCGAAATTATAGAAGATCCCTTTTAAGATCAAACAAGTCCATCGAATTGAGTACGATTGTATGTGTGATAGCATCTATTATACTAGGAATAGTATTGTCCCGTCGATCATTATTTAGATTTTTAGTATTTTTGAGAAGTTCAAACTTTTGTAGATTAAGAAAATCAAGAAGGTTATAATGAAGATTGATTTGTCATGTATCAAACATTTGTTTACCATATGTTTAAAACTGCAAAACCCTAATTATTTAAAATCCCTCTCAATACACCAAATCAAAGGAAGACTTGAACTTCTTATTATCTTGGGCCGGAGGCCCATTTAAATCTGTACTTTACAGGAGGAGAAAACCCTAATTCTCTGGCCCATTTAAACCGTTACTTGACAGGAGGAGAAAACCCTAATTCACAGAAACCCTATTTAACCACTTTGAAACCTCACCCCATTACTTGCAGATCGCTGCGTACTGAAGGTTTTTTCTTCTCACTTTTTCTCTTGATATGAGTTGTTATTATTAAATTTCGATTCAAAATTGCTCGAGACCAAACGGAGATTCCGTTCGATGATCTCTTGATTCAATAGTATGTTTCTGTTTGGTTTGAACATTTGTATGTAGATAAATCGATGCATCTGTTTACCCACTCCTTGTTTGGCTATTAAAAAGTAGCGCTACAGGAGGTAAAACGGATGCAGATAATGAAAGGTTGGCTTACCAGCCCATTGCATATCTCTTCCTGCCATGGCGTCAAATGGACCTACCTATACTGTTCTCTCAATTTGCTTTTAACCGTTTTCGAATTCTGTGTTCATAATCTTATTGGTTATTTCTAGATACATGCTTTTAATTCATGCTTTTTAATTTATCAAATCACTGTTTATGTTATGGCAAGTGATGAGATTATCTTATCCTACACTCAGATGAGCCATGTTGATTTCAACTCCGCTTATTATCTGATGCCATATGGGGTTTTCAAAATATATTTTGGATTCACTTTAATTTGGGTGTTTCTGTCATTGCTTTAGATCTGGTAGACTCTGTTTTCAGGACTAAATTTTAGGTTTTGAAGATCGATTCTTGTTTTCTATGTTGCTTTGTTGTAATGATTTTGACCTAGAGAAAAAGGGTATTTTGAAATGGGATGGCAAATGAAGTAAAAAGATTCTTATCCTACACACTGAAATTTAGTGTAGACTACTACTCCGCTTATTATCTGATGCCCTTCCCTATTTGTAATGTTTTATGAAGTGTATATTGCTGGGAATTGTCAGAAACAGATGTTTTAGGTTCCTGGCCAGATCGAAATAGAGTTATATCATAATCTATGATGAGAAAGAAGCAGACGGGCGGTCTGAACTGATGCCATGTTGATTGTCTGCAAATTTCCTTTGTGAAATATCTCTGAGTTGCATTATACCCATATCTTGTTTAGGGGTTTTATATAGCCTTTGCACATTTTATAACATAATTTGGTTGGTAACATAAATGATCTTTTCATTGAGTCTTAAACTCATAGATCATGAATCAGCATGGGAGAGTCAGGTCTCTGATTCTGCAGTGATGAAGTTGCTTAAATATGTCTGGACATCTGATATTCTCTGATTAGAAAGTATGCTTCTTCTGAGCAGATCTGTCTACGCTTTTTGCTTACAATGCTCAAAACTAATTTCAAATTTTTATCATATGTAAGATTATATATGAGAAACTAGCAAGACAAGAAGCAAAAATAAGTAAAACAAAGTATTTTTCAGAAATGTTATGAATTTAAGCCCCCGAAATATTAATATTTTTTAATTGGTTCCAATTTGATAGCTTAATTTACGAAATTGTTGCCTAATGTAATTTTTAGATGAAAACTTTACTATAAATCAAAAAAGTTTATTGGGTCTTGGTTTGGTGGCATAGAAATTGCTTCATCATACTTAAATGTACTTATAACAGTGAAAGATTTTAGGAGTAAAAACTAAAAATGTATTCTAAAATACTTTGTAAATTGAGAAGGATTTTAGGCTTTGATCACCAGCCATTTGCGGGTCGGTACATGGTAACTTGGTCTGATCGGATGAGTAAAAGCATATCTAAGCAGGAGGAGGAAATTCTTTGCCTGCCTATGGAGAATTTGGAACGAAAGGAACCGGTTACTGTGGAATGGCCATGTATTTTCTGACCAATCCTCTGATTTACCTCATGGGGAAATATCTTCAAGAATGGAAGAGGGTTAGGGAAATTCAGGGACGAGGAAGAGTGCAGATTCAAAAGCTTGCAGCTGAACCAGGGCGGAGTCAGAATAGGGAGACCAAGGGCTGTGGACTTGCAATGTGTATTGAATGGTTAGTGGTGTGCCCAATGAGGCAGGATATGGTGTGATTATTAGAGGTTTTGGAGGACATTCTCAAGGTGCTAGCCCCATTTTCTTGCGGCGAATTACTAGGCTGTCGAAGTGTACTCTCTTTCATAATGGAAAATATCTAGGGTTCGAAGATGGTTGAAAAACGATGCTCGGTTACTGCATGTTGCGATTATATATCCAATGAAAAAGACACTTCGAGAGTTCGAATTTATCGCAAAATCTATTATAACTTGAACAGGATGTATCTCAACACTGAATTTTAAGACAGGACAATCTGATTGCTCATTAGATTGTTTGATCAATCATGCTTATTCTTATATGTAATGATATTTGGTCATTTAAAAAAAATTAAAAATGTATTTTAAAATATTTATATTTATATATATATATTGATTGATAGATATATTATTTACAAGTTTATATAAATTCAGAAGTTATGGAGAGAGAATACTTCGTAGCCGCGTTTTTTGGTGTTTGCTGTGTCGGTGGATCCATATATTATTGTGAACACTGCATGCCTCTTTTTCATCGCACGACATAATTGCATTCGTTTCAAAAAACTTTTTATCCCATATAGGGGTTCATTCGGAAATAATTTAAAATCATAAGGGTTAGTATAAAATAAAGGAAAATATAAAGGCCTTGAAAAAGGAAAATTTGAATAGTAAAGGGACTGTTTTGCAATTTAATAAAAAATGAACAGAAGTCAACTAAAGTCAAAGGTAGAAACTCGGGTTTGTCGTTGGGGCCCACAAGCGTCGGTGATGAAGCAGTATGGGACCCGCAACTCTCCTTTCAAAATCGAAACACTTATGAGTCGACGACACAACTCTCCGATGAGTAATGACACTACACCTACCCCCTTCTTCTTCCTCCTCCATCCCGCAAATCTTTCTTCCTGCTACCAAAAATGAAAGACGAAGAATCACCGGTATCCCTACCATCTCCACCTGCGAAGAAAGATGCCTCACGGCCTGCTCTGTTCTGTGGTAAGAACGGTTACAAGTTCTGGGCTTTGGCCGCTATTCTCCTTTTAGCTTTCTGGTCTATGTTCACTGGCTCTGTTTCTCTCAAATGGTCCTCCGGTGATCTCGCTTCGTCCTCTGATCAACCTGACTTCCATATCACCGAAGATCTCGACATCCTTGTATCTATCTCTCTCTCTCTCTCTCTCTGTGTTTTTTTGGCTTCTTGTTGATTTTCCTTGCTGCCCATTTTTTGGCTTTTTTTTTTTTCCTTAACATTTTTAGTATGTTAACGGTTTAGGAGGTGGAAGAAAGAGAGAAGACGGTCAGGCGCATGTGGGATATTTACACGCATAGCACCACCGTGAGGTTGTCGCGATTTTGGGTGGAAGCTTTTCAGGCTGCTTACGAGTATCTAGTTAGCGATATTCCAAGTGTTCGAGACGGTGCCGTTTCTGAGATCGCCAAATTGTCTATGCGCTCCTTCAATCCTGATACCCTCCCGGTCTCTGTTCAACCAATGGTTAGTCTACTTCTTCATCGTACTTAAATGTTTCACTTTCTTGTTTAGAAATCTGTAAATTTTTTGTGTACCAAATAAAATTGGAGGATTTTTTTAAACCTTACTGTTTTGCTTAATTTTCTACGAAGAATTTTAAGTTCGATTCTTGGATTTTTCTTATTTTCTATTAAATGCCTTTTCTGGGTATTGTGTTAGTTGGGTAGATTTGATATTTGAGACTTGGCAATTGAAGATATACATAACTTGTGTTTGCTAGTCTGGTTCTACTGTATAGACTCTTTATCAATGATAGTGAGGTAACTGTCTTCTTTTCATGTTGGAGAGATTTAAGATGGTCAAAATCCTGGCATTTTTTGTAGAGATCTCTGCAAAATTCCGTGGCCACAATTCAATTTCATTTCCAAGGCCGGAAGTACATGTGAAATTAGCTTCTAGTTCATCTTGATTTTTCATATGTGGGAGCTACTTTCACTTCCTTGTTCTCATTCATCGCTCAATAGGAAAGTTTTGATAATATGATCTTGTAAACTTTTTCGTTCTACAGTAGATTGATTACAAGAATTTCCTTTTGGCATATCCAGGATCTGTTATATTAGTAGATGGATCCAACATATCTTGAAGTCAGATTCTTGCATATGAGAAGCTATCCGCCTTTGGTTTTCTCGATTTTAAAACAATCAATGCCTGTTTATAGGAAAATAAATATGTCGGTAAAATTATTATAAAGTCGCCTGTGTATACTGTGTCAGCACTAGTAATGATTAACCCATTAAAGATGTTATAATAATATCCCTGTGTTTCATCTAATGCTGGAGTACGTGAAAACGCCCTTGTTCTCAGCCTGCAAACCCGCTACTGGATACAGTTTTCTATTTGTTTATCATAAAAGAAGTAACTTTTTCATGTTCCTCCACTGAGAGGAAGATGAGCTTCAAACCAAGGGCTTTGCTAATAGTTCACTGGTGATGGTATATCAAAGTGATGATATTCTTTTTCTTCCTTTGTGTGTATGTATATGTGCTCTGCATTCATCTCTCTTTCTCTCCTTGCTTTCTTAGAAAATAGAATGTTTAACTGCCCCAAAATTAGATCTTAACGAAGTTAAGTGTTCTCTTGCTATTGTTTGATTTGCTTCTGATGTTATTTTGCTCCTCAGAAGACTGGAGAAACAAGAAAGACTCTGAAGCAAGTAGACAAAAGCAGGGAGGTAACTACGCCGTCCAAGAGTAGCTAATAATAACAAGAATTCTTTCCTTTAGTTTTCCTATCGACACTGAAGGTCTCATTTTCTTTGTCTTTAATGTAAGGAAATATCAATGCAATGCAGTGTAAATTATATTTTGACATCAAAATAAATATATTTGGTTCTTCCTATCACAGTCTTGCTTTATATGGATTTATGTTTACAATCTTGTGCATCAGAAATCTTAGGTCGGATTTTTCAATTCCAGTCAGTTTTTTTTTTAAGGTGAAACTCACTTTCCGTCACCTAATGCACGAAAGATGTGAATATTACGTATTTTTTTTTATAGATCGGACTATTCAGTGTTCTGTAATGTTCTCTTGCATGAACCGCAGAGTGTGTGGAAGTGATTCTTGGTTGAGAAATTTGATCTGCCCCCATTTTAGTACTTTAACATATTTGGTATGAATAATGTAAACCTGATTCATTACTAAAACTATTGCACTTTAAATATCGTTGTGTGGTTGAAGAGTTCGTTATACTAATCATATTTCGGAAAGTTCTTTTAAACCATAACGACTCTTTTACAATCTTTATAATTGCATCCTTATGTCTTTGTTGTTGATAGACGTAATAATAACACCTTACAATTGTGACCACTCACTCTATTGAGTTATTTGCTATGCAAACTCATACTCTATTGCAGATATTTTATTGTCAAAGTCATCAATAATATGCATCTATGTATATTATAACAAAAACAATATAATTGCTGTAAATACTATAATCAATCATATATGCCTGTGAAATATCGAAGAATTTATCGTTTGCTAATGTTCCTCAGAATAAGCCATGAACTTGCTAAACATATTAAGTTCGCACGCTAAGTTTGGCCTTGTATTCTGGATTGCATACGTTAAACATCCAAGTACTATATACATAAGGACCCTTTAACATCAATTTCATGTCTCTGTTTAGATACATAGTAAATTTTACGATTTGAAGTAATTTGGCAATAGGGTAGAAACCGATTTTGGATTTGTTCATATCAAATCTCTTTAACACATTTTTATGTATTATTTTTTATGAGACTCAAAACTTTAATTTTCTATCATTTATACTGATTTTCATACTTAAAATTTTCTTGACAATACTAAGATCTTCCATTTGCTCAGTAAACACTTAGTGTTATCACTCATATACTATCGATAAAACCTAATGAAAATATATATGTCAACCGAAGAGATTATTGTTTGTAGTCTTTTATTAATGTAAAGTAGAACTAACATTCATCTATTACCGTTGGATAACAATTAATTTTACTGTCTCAAGAAAACTAATACTTTTTTTTATGCTAAATTTGACTGAAACATATTCAATTATCATTCAATACCTACACTTTGATTATTGTAGTTGTAAAAGTTTTATCGTAATTTACGCATTATTTCGCCCATTTTTTTAGTTTCATAACCATGAAGTTGTATCTTCCCAACCATAAAATTTATATCTTCACATGTCAAAGAATGAACTATGTAAACATTGAACCAATTTGGAATTAGGATACTTAAACTTCAATCATATCCTTATTGTATTATCATTCAGGAGGAGGAGGAGCAACAGTTATTGCGGAAACAACAATTTCTTTCTTAGGTTTTATCAGAGCATCGTTCTCATCAGCAGTCTTAATGAGCTACCTTAGGGACACTTACAGGCGCTAGTGCAGTGTCCACAGGCAGTGTGGACCTGTAGATACTGGACTTCAACCGCCACAAGAAAAGTTTCAGATTGGGAAACAAATACAAGTTCCCGGTATTCAAGATGAGCTAAGTGCCAACTTTGGGAGTTTGCCCCATGTTACCCAGGACTTTAGTTACAGTGTTAGTTCTGAAGCTTCTTCTTCACATCTGCCACATAACATGCTTAGGAATATCAATCTGGGAAGCTAAGCTGCCGGAGAAGATTGATGAACTCAATCTTTAAACTTTAATCATATGAATATTAGATTAAATCAGAGTTTGAATCAAACTCAATATTAAGCTTTTAAATTTTTATTTTTATTTTCTACCATATAAGCATTAGTTTCAATTATTATTACTACAAATAATAAATCACTCAAAAATAATTTAGAATAAATATGAAATCATTTAAACTATTTTTAGTTTAGAATATGAAAATTAATAAATTAGTGAAACATAAAACAGTAAGCATACTCATTAAAACACCTATATTACTTACATTTTGATTGAACATTTATTTTTTCAGATAAAAAAAACTAAAAGCAGTTTCTTCTCCTACTTTAAAACAAAGATTTCTTGTTTCATCACAATAAACTAGCAGCATCTTTGTAACTTAATTATAAAAGAATATATATATATATATTATATGATATTCGAATCCTCTTTTTAAGTTTTACCCTTAAACCATAATTTTAATCCGAGGTCATTCAGATCTTGTCAGTGTCTTCGACTGGTTAGTAATAAATTCATCTGCCTTAGAATTACCTCTCCCACTAGGAATTCTGGATCGGTGCTCCATGTAATTTCTCTAAAATCAATATACATACATATATATATTATACTTCAAAGAAAAAAAAATCCTGACAAGCGCAAATTTCTGAGGAAAACCATTTAACACTTACCCACCTACAAAAAGAAGTGTTTTTTTTCTTGACTCTTAACAAAAAGGACATGTTTAGATGGCATATTCAACTAGTACAAGCTTTAAAATCACCAAATAAATCAAGCTACCGTTATACAATCTTTTATCATAGATTGCTATATCTATTCCTAAGTAACCTGTTTAACAAATTGATAAATGAAGGTCACACCTCTAAGATTTCCATCAAGAATCTGGCCAGTACAAAATTACCGACTACATCTTAAAATCTTACCTGGCCATCCAAAATTCAGCTAAGATACAGAAAAATGGAACAGAAACTACAACCTCGTTAAAATTAAGTTTACCTCAATTCGATAATGAACCTAACCCGGGATCCTTGAGAACAAAATAAGGATGCAAACCACGGGAGTACTACATCACAAAATCACTCAGAGCAGATTAATTAGTACTGCTGCTATGCTCTATCAAAGAAGAAAAGAAAAAAAGCCTAAGTGAAGACATTTACAAAGAGTTAAAGTCAACTGTATTTACAACTATCCTCAAACCTTCCCCTAGTCTTCAACGGTCTGAATCTCCCCCATCATTATCCGATTACTGACAACATTAAACCCAAGAACCGATGGGCTAACCTTCTTCCCTTTCTTTCCCTTTTTCTTGCTGCCTCCTTTTGATGGCCCATCACCACCCACTGCTATATCTCGGTCAAGATCCCCAAGTCCTGAATTGTCAGAATTCACATCTCTAGCACTAGTCCCTGTCACTTTTCGATCACTCTGAGTTTGAAAGGCAATTTCAAGTACATCCGCTGGCAACAAATCCTTGTAGTTGAGAAACTTGTCAATGAACTCATGATCTGGATCATATGATCCAAGATTCTCGATCAGAAGCAATTCAGCCTCTGATCTAGATTGTTTCACACAGAATTCCAAGAAACTCGTATCTAGCAAGAAAAAATTAAAAAACAGCATAGCATCAGTGAACTTTAGCATCAATCTTCCCCCGGCCTTAAATGTACATCTAAGTTCCCTACGGCAGAAAAAGCTTTTACATCTTTGGGCAAAGCCAAAGAATAAGAATAAAAATAAAAACAGATATCTCCTTGCTATGGTTGATTTATTAGCTTGTGATCTGTCTCCCTTGTAAGGGTTAGGCTGAAATCTAAAAATAACATCCCAGTGATAGTAGACCAACCGACCAAACATATCCTTGTTGTCATCACTCTTAACACCTAATACTAGGTAACAAAATTCAGGGAAAACCAGAAAATAGATTGTTGAATACCTTTTGTACCAATAAGCCTTGCACATTCATTCTCACACCAATCCCTGAAGTCCATAGCCTCTGCAAAAAAGCAAACATTTTAAAAATGGCCCATCAAAATCCATAACACATTAAAGAAAACAATCTTATAAATGATAACCTGTATGCTTGGTCATTGCATCTCTTTTCCCTTTGAACGATGACTGAGCAGAGAAAGGCGACGATAAAAGAGAACGTTCAGAATTTCTACTGCTCACTGATTTCTGTCTGCTTAATGACCCGGCTAAAGTAGCTTTTCCAGCATTAGTTTTAGTTCCCCAACTGTGTTGGCTTGTAAGATTAGGGAAATCTGCCCTGTTTGCAGAGAAGAAGATAATGTTACTCACCTTTTCAAACTTATTAGAAGCAGAAGTCGCAATTGCATGAATGGCAAAAACTATAAAATAACTTTCAACAAAATCAAGAAAAATGTGCATTTGATAATCCAAACAAAACTGAGTATCTAACAGCCACAGTATCAGCAATCCTAGTAGTGCAAATAGTGAAAAATATTATAACTCCACTGTTAAACAAAGTTCCTATACCACTTACTAAACCTCACCAACTAATCAGTCATATTGGCTCTGTCATCTCTGTCATGTATCAAAAGTTGGAGAGTAAGTGCAGAAAAGCGGGATTTATAATAACTCAATCGTTAAAACTGCAACAGCAAGTAATGCTAATGGCAATTCCTGTGGAAATGCCTAGAGGCAAAACTGATAAACAAGACAAGGTACGAGTTTGAACACAGGAAAAATGGAAAGAAGAAATAAAACTAGATGTAAAACCCATAAAGACTCATATTCTAGAACACATGGGGACACCTATGCACTGTCTCGCTAAAAGAAGTCAGACAACCTTCTAACTAAATTTAACAAAACGGTTTAGAAACTATTCAGTAGATTAAGATAAGTGTCATACTTCTTAGTTTCTTGTCTTGATTGCTCAATTGGGCCCCAGAATAGGTCATCATCCCCCCTGTATTTTGACTGTAAAGAGATATGAGAATTGATCTGGATCGGAGAAGCAGCCTTTGATGGAGAAGATGCAGAAAGTGACGATGACATGCCACTACCATGAGTGGTCTGTGTTGGGGGGGATTTCTGAGGAGTTGGTATAGGATTTGAGGGCTGGATGGAAGATGTCTTCTTTTCCTGCTCCTTTTGTATGTCTCTCAAAGATGTAGGTTT